GCCACTAGAAGTATATATATGACAAGGTAGGAGTTCATGAGAAATAAACCATTCTGATAAAAACCTAACGCAACATATGCGGATAAAACAGCTCTTCTCAAGTTGAGACCTGACCATCAACAGTGCAGTTAGTCTTTTATCAGGACGAGTTGGCATTTAGAAACACATACCAACGAAAGACTGTGCCACAAGACCTCCTAACTGATGAAGTTAGATTTTATTTATTTAACACAACGATATTGGTAGAAGGAGGCTCCAAATACATATGCGCCACACAAACCTCATTTGATTCGTGTGAGAGCTGTGGTACTGCTGGGGTGCTCAAACAAAAGCAGGTGGTTTTTTTAGAAGGCCACACCCGGAGCCTTCGACCTGAAGGTCTGATCCACAAGGCAGTGGAGCATCGTAAGGAGATGCAGTCCCATGGTATCCGGTGACCATCAATTGGTTCATACGCCATTTGTTCCTTCAGGATACTGGAGCCCATGTGCACCATTGGTTTGGAATCAGGGTTTTTCAACTCCCTTAGGTGGACTCACCGTGTTCACTGGCCCGGTTAAAGCGCCGGACATTCGCTTTTCGTCCTCTCATTTTCGTAAACAACACCCCCGCTACGAGGCGGTGAGTAGGACTTCCTTGACAGAGGCTGTATGCGCGTGGCCGTGTGAGGGCATTAGAGAGGGAGAGCGGACTCTCCCTACTGTCGGCCGTACCAGGGCATTTGAGGGACTATCCCGCTCTACGCATCTAGGTTTCACTCATATCCTGATTCTAGGGAACTTCAATCTCCTTAGAGTCGATTTCGCAAAACGTACGTATATTGGAGGTGAAAACTCAACTGGAACTCATTGAGGATCTGGGATTATTCGAAAATGTGAAGTCGGCCACTCCTTGGAGTAACAGTCAGCCACTGTCGCGCTTAGACTGTGTATTTACAAACGAAGGATTTCTAGTTGACAACCTCTAAATCCTGGCTCCTCTGGGCAAAGGCGATCACACCGTCATAGCCTTGAATTTCGTCAGCAAAACTGAGCTAAGATATCCCGCCAACAACATTTCAAACGGTTGAATGTGTCAGCTCTACAGGACTAACTACAACAGGTGGATTGGGATGTTCACTCTTAACTTGATGTGGATGCTTATTGGGACTTCTTACTGCACACGCTATTATGTGCTACAAAGCAATCAGTTTCTCAACCGGTCCCCAAAAGCTACAAGGAACCTATAATCATCAAGAACCGCAATCTTCGTTTGCTAAACTGCAAAAGACACTGTCGGGTAGAATACAAACGAACTGACAACAACGGCGAGTACAGGAGATACAAACATATAAGGAACATATGCACGAAGTTTATAAGAGAGGACAGGCTTCAGTACCAGACAAAGCTTATGGATAAATTTGTCTCTAATCCGAAAAGCTTATTCCGTTATTCAGCCTCTCTTCGTCAAGCCAAAACTGGGGTTTCCCAATTGCTAGGTCCTAACTGCCTGACCAATAACGACGGCGACGCCACTAACCTTCTGGCTGAACAATACTCTCGGACATTTCAACTGACCCATATCAACTATACTGATAAAAGCTTCATCTGCAACTCCCAAGAACTTTCCCTAGTGAACCTGAGCGCTGACTTGGTGTTCCGGGAACTGCAGCCCTCAAGAATAGACACTTCTCCTGGCCCGGATATGGACCATTCTGTCATACTGAGGGAAACAGCCTAAATCCTGGCAACGCCACTTAGCGCGATGTTCTCACACTCGCTAAGCCAAGACAAACTACCGGAAAATTGGATGTTGGCTCACATAACACCAATTTTCAAAGGTGGTCGACGCAGCAAACCTTCAAGTTACCGACCGCTGGCTCTTCTCTCAATACCTTCAAAAATCATGGAGTCCCTGATATGCGATGGCATAAGTGACTATTTACTGTCTTTAAATTTCTTCCAACCTCAACAGAAATGGTTTCAGGAAGGGTTACTCTTGTATAACCAACCTGCTGAATGCGGTGGACAGATGGACAAGCATCCTCGATCGCAAGGGGAAGGTTGATATCATCTACCTAGATTTCTCAAAAGCTTTTGATAAGGTTAACCATACATGTCACATTGATAAGCTCAAACGATTAGGTATCAGACCACCTCCAATCGATTGTCTCACTTCATACCTGAAAAATTGACATTTTAAGGTCAGGGTTAATTTCACTTTATCTCAGGCTATGGAATGTCCTAGTGAGGTCCTCCAGGGCTCAGTACTAGGGCCTCTTTTTTTGATCTACATAAGTTATCTTCCTCAACAGGTGACGTCAGACTTATTACTTTATGCCGACGACGTGAAACTTTGGAGAGAGATACGCAACCAAGACGATATACAAGCACTTCAGAAGGATCCGATTCGACTTCAAAGTCGAGCAGACGATAACGGACTTACCTTTAATACTTAAAAGTGTAAAGTAGTCCATCTGCGACATGTTGCAGACTACAGTTGTAACTCAGGAAACTCCTCTGTAGTAGTATCTCAAGTCGAAAAAGATTTAGGAGTCCTGGTGCCCAACGATTTAAAGTCTTACGCTAACTGTGACAAAAATGACTTCCGAGCAAACCTTGCACTGGTAACATTGAAGCGCATTTTTGGCCAGTTTGACAGAAGAACTTTCCATATAATCTTCGATGGTTTCATCCGTCCCCATTTAGAGTACGGAAACATAGTATTTCCTCCCTCACTCCAAAAGGAGAAGAACACTGGAGCGTATCCAACGGCGAGTCACGAAATCAGTTCGAGGACTCAAATTTAAGTCTTATGAAGAGCGCCTCCAATAACTTGACCTTTACCTATTAGAGTATAGGCGTTGACTACCTCCAACCACCATCTAAATCTCAGTACATAGTGCCCGCAGCGTCCAGTCACCTAGATTGGTGGCCACATTGCAACATGATCGATAGCATTCGATCTGCACTAATAAGGACTAGACAAGCACGACATTGGTCATCACCCAGTGATCAATCAATTGTGAGAGTATAGGCGTCTTCGAGATGACCTTCTAATGGCTTACAGTATCCTTAACACTTCTGGACATCCTCTTAAACACCTGTTTAAGCTTAGTTCCAACATTAACCTAAGGATAACACCCAGAAAATAAAGATACAACTTGGCAGAACGGACCGTAGACACAACTTATACTCCTTAAGAGTTGTGAAATGCTGGAATTCGCTGCCAGCCGGGCTAGCCTAAGCGACTTCCCAAGAGTCCTTTGAGAGATAACTTAATTTATTCTTAAGGATTAAGGATAGTATCATACAATGATCGACAGATTTCTTTTTCCTCTTTCATTGTCAACATACCTAGGTTCCTGCCTGGAGGTTTTGGTGATCCCCTGCCACTAGACACGGAGGCCTGTTAAGCGATAGCTTCTTCTAATCAGTCCACAACTATCTGAACCATTTGAAGATTTTTCAAGTATTGAATATACTAAGTTAACTATCTGGAGTTATCGATGTTTCACTGATGCTAGATATAGAAGTCTGTTGAGCGAAAGCTTCTTTTATTAGAGCAACAATCATCAACTCCCTAGAGATTGGAAGGACGCTATAGTTAGTCCTATATTTAAGGACGGTCAGCGACAGATAGTATCTAACTACCGGCCTGTCAGTCTAACTAGCATAGTCGTTAAGTTACTCGAAAAGATAATTCGGGTTAGGTTGCTAAGCCACATAGATTTACACAATCTGTTAGCTCCTGAGCAACACGGATTTCGTAACAAGCGTTCATGCTTGACTAACTTGCTTATTGCGAGGGAGGATTGGACAGCAGCCCTAGATCACGGTCTGTCTGTCGACGTGATATTCATAGATTTTAGCAAAGCATTTGACAAGGTTTCAAAAGTAGGTCTTATGCAGAAGCTCACGAGCTTCGGAATAATAGGTACTGTACATGAGTGGATAGGAAATTTCTTATGTGACCGCAGACAGAGAGATAGGGTCAATGGAACGCTATCCGATTGGAAGCCGGTCAAAAGTGGTGTACCCCAATGCACCATCTTAGGCCCTATGCTCTTCCTTCTCTACGTTAATGAGTTACCACTGTTACTTAGGTCGTCGACATTATTGTTTGCAGATGATGTAAAAATCTGGAGAACAATAAAAAGTGCGGCTGACCATGTGGATCTTCAAGCTGATTTAGACGATTTAGTTAGATGGGCTCGAGAGTGGGGCTTAGAAATTAATGCTAGGAAGAGTGTACTAATGCACGTCGGTCACGGTAATAGTTACCGTTACACTATTGAGGGTAAACCTCTTCCATGCGTTCAAGAGCATAAGGACTTAGGAGTAATATTAAGTCATGACTTAAAAACAACTGCGCATTGCAAAGCAGCCGCTGTCAAAGGTTTTCGTGCGTTATGGTCACTTCGCCGAGCGTTCAAATCTTTTGACGAGGAAACGTCTCGAATTTTGTATCTCACCTATGTAAGACCACACTCAGAGTACTGTTATCAAGCAGCTAGCCCATGTCTGGTAAAGGATACTAACTCCCTTGAGCGTGTCCACCATGTGGGAACAAAATTAGTAAAGGGTCTTTCTAGACTCCCGTACGATGAGCGTTTAAAACGCCTAAATCTTTTCCCCTTGTCGTATCGTAGGACACGAGGTGAGCTTATACTGGCATTTCGTATCTTTAATTATGATTTGGGTGTTAATATGTCTTATCTTTTTGCTCCCTCCAGCACTAATAATCTCCGAGGTCACAGCAAGAAGGTTCATAAACCACGATCTAATAAACTTAAAGTGGGATCCCGTTTTTCTCACCGAGTAGTCAATCATTGGAACGCCTTACCCGAACAAGTGGTATCAGCCCCATCAGTGAATACTTTCAAGGAAAAGCTGGACCTTCACTGGAAAGCAATGTGTCAGGATTAACACAGGTTCATCAACCTACTATCCTTATTACTGAAGACTGAAATGTAGCGAATACCTACCAGCTTCGGAGGGCTTCTTGTTCTCAAGGTTACGATGAGCAAAAGAAATCAGTAAGCTGATCAAGGATAATTTCCGTTTTTATTCTATAATGATTATTAGAAAATTTGATGACTCGAATTCTTCTAAAAAAATCTAGGTTTTTTTATTGTTTTATGTGTCAAAACTCCATACAAAATTTGCTGTTTTGAAGTCAGTGCTTAACTGAAAACCAGTCATAATAAATTTTTTTACGGGTTATCTTCTTTTTTTTCAATAATATTAATTATTGCAAAATTTCAAATGGAATGTCAGTTTTAGTTTTAGACCATGTAGTTCAACATATTGATGGCTTGCAAACGTATCTCATTGTCGTATATACGACATCTGCTATGTTTCAGATTTTCTCGTTGATAAGCTTATTGAGTCTATAAATTTTTTCACGATTGTTCATCATTCCATCATTCATAAATTAGTAGTGTTTGTTGATGCATTCTTCCACCATTATAATATATACATAAACATGCATCAATATATATTAAGGATTAGTACATTTAAATGTGAATAACTTCCTGAAGTGCCTAAGTAAATAATTTGCAAATAACGCTTGATCATATTTACTACCAGTGTTTCGTGAAGTGAGTAACCAACACGTTAATGGATATAGTATTCCATTTGAAAGGGACAATTTAAAGCCTTTTCTTGTTCACCAACAGGAAAAATTACTTCTTGGCTTTGCCTTTTGCATGATGCTAAACATTTGTTGCATATTATTCAAGAACTACGTCTGAATGCTAATTTCTCACTTGTGGTGGCTATTCTGTCACAGATCTCTTTACTAATTTATATTCATCTGTGGTACTGTGGTATGTGTCCCACCAGTATAAGTTGCAATGGTAAAAACATTTCACTCTGACGATTTTGAGATTCGACAAGTTACGATCTTTACTAGAATGTCATTTAGACTGGACAACTGACATCCTAGTGCAGCTGAGCATTAACCGTTTAATACTATAGAGGATCACAGCAATAGCTATGGCTTTTTGTGCAGTATGACGTATCCTTTTGTTGGTGATGTCTTCGAAGTGAGTACCCACTGTGGGGTGCAGGGACTAAATTAATTAAGGTTATACCTTGCGGATTCCGATTTCTAAGTTTCACTGGATATTTTAGAGCGGAATGCCGACTGTGGATAGTCTTATTTGGGAATGTACTCGCGATGGCGTAACTCATTTTTTATAATTTTGGATATACAACTTCACACATAAGTTATCAAATCGCGGGGCAAAATAGTTTTTTGCTGAAATGTGTGTCGACTAAAGAAGTTCGTACGTACCAGCATCTACTTTGGGATTTAAGGTCGACCTCCGATATCATGCTTGCAGCTGTTTTAGTTGATGTCTCCAATGTATCAACAGTGCATCGGTATCAATACTGTAAAATATTTACTGAGAAATATTGAATTAACACTTTGTAGGATTATTGAAATCTATGTGACCGTTGTCCGTAAAACAAAGTTTAATAAAAATATGTTAAAGTAGGATAAATAAGTAGTAGTCTCTTCAGGTGCACTATGGGACAGAACTTCATAAGAGGATCAGTTCATGTTTAAAATTGGATAAAGTTCAAATAGTTTTGATATCAAATTAAGGATGGTTAGAGTTACGATGTCTTTCTACCATTAAAAATATGTTTTAGCTTCAACGTGGATTTGTTTAAGCCACCTTAAGCAAAAGACGTTCTACAGCCACACCCTTCTTCCGTAAGTTTTTCCGTAGAGTGGTTCACGAATCGCGCTTGCCCTAATTAACTCATAATTATAGTCTTATGAAAACAATCATCTGTATAAATACTGTAATAGAATTTGAAAACTATCTAATTGACAACTAAGATTTTCGTCTGCAGAACATCAAAAAAGAATGCAATGTGTTCTCGCTTCTCACATTTTGCAATTATTACAAATTGTAGAACACAAAAATACTGGCCATATATTTGGTCCCAAATAGTCTCATGTAGCCTGCATGCTTCTTGGGTGGTGTAATGGGTATAGAAGGTTACTTACCTATATTTTATGAATATCTTAAACAATCTATTTTCTCGATTACCTTGAGGGAAAATCTGTTCACAGTTTTATTCCACTATGTAAACTTAGTTTGATATATTCAATACTGTGTCATATCGCTGACTTTCGTTTTTTTCATATAAACTGTAGCTCGTTCTCCTTTATTAAATCTTTTATCAATGGTTATTAGTTCAGCTCTCTCCGTCTAGTTGTGATATTTTTCCAACACTTGCTCTTGCATCACTATTTTAACCTGCCATTGTTTAGTATCAAAACGTCGAACTTAATGTTCTGTTTGTTTTCCCAACTAATATCATAATTAACCATCATTTTGTTGGACGGCTTTATATGTTAAGATTGATCTACTTATCAGATAAACGAAAGTAAATGTTAGGAATGAGAGTGACTTTGTTTTTTGCATGAAGTGTCACAGGTTAGCAAATTTCAGAAACAGTTCGAAATTAAGCCGGTAATATTATTGTATCTGAACAGTACTTATTTTGTTGTTTTCTCTACAGATCAAAGGTTTCCTCCTCTCAAATGGATATTTTAAATCTAAATATGGTGGAATTCAGACTTGTCATGTCTATCCACAAATCAAGAAATTTAAGGTTACTTTTCATCTTGGACCAACTTTCAGTGATCGTTGTTGCTACATTGACGTGGTGGTCGGGCTTGCCTATCGTGGTGAAACAACCGTTTCTCAAGGTCCTACCATGTCAGGCAGGTCGTTTGAAGAGCGGTAAGACTAAAAGCAACAAACCGAAGGCGAAGTCGTACTGCTGACTGTACATAGGTGTGACAGCAGTAAGGTGTTTCCTTCAGACAACCAGCATGACAGCGATGCTGCCTTCCCACAAGGAGGAATGGGGTTAAAAAAGGTCGACTCTAAAAATGCAGACCTCGCATATCCCACGGATATCCGTCTCCGGCGGTAAGGTCTCAACATGTACGGAGCTAACACAAAAATTACTCACAAAATGGTCGTGTGTAGCCGATCTCAAGAAGTTGTCCCTTGGGCACTGTGATCACACTCTCAGGTCATTAAGATCACCCCTAATCCAATTTCCTTTTCAGGTACCTTCAGAAGAACCCTTCCACGGTGTAGGCAACCGGAAAGTTATAACGGCCCTCATATCTCTAACAGCACTGAAGATCACTATATTCATAATCAACTTGTTTCTTTAGTCCCTATTATTCCTCCTACGTCGACTTTCAACACTAAACTTCCTCTTTTGGCTTCCTCCTCAAGAATCACCATGGCCAACGATTCGAGTGCGCGAAACAGTCCCAGGTCTACTGAAACCTCGCTCCAAACTACACAATGGAACCTTCAAGGTACACATCCTGTCAAATCGGCCAGCAGGCGTCCTTGGATGAGACTCTAGAATCCCGTACAATTGATATATGCTGTGTCTCCGAAACACGCATATAGGATCCTAGTGTGGTCATTCACTTGACCTCACCTCGGCAAAACGGAGAGCCGACGAGATACACCCTCCGTGTATCTGGCGACCCAATGGCTGGCAGGTGTGGGCATAGCATTAAGTACAAGGGCAGAACAAGCACTTTTAGAGTGGATCCCCGTTAACAGTCGTCTATGCGTTGTTCGGCTTAACGGCTCCGTAAGAACTCGAAAGGACAGGGACACGCGTCGTTGCCCTTTCGTCGTTTATGCCTACGCTCCCACTGACTGCAGCTCGGATGAAGTGAAAGATAAATTTTACAGAAAGCTTTCTGAACTTTTTCAGAAAGCTAAACGCTCAGATATAGTACTTGTAGCAGGTGACTTTAATGCCCAAGTAGGTAGCTTAAACCAAACCGAAGGACATTTAGGTGAGTATTTTGGTATTCCGGCTCAGCGATAAGATAATGGTGATCGTCTGCTGCAACTCTGCTCAGACAATCGTTTATTTTTAGCAATCACAAATTTTAAGCATAAGGAGAGACATCGTCTAACATGGTGACCCCCTTCACCAAACGAACGATGGACTCAAATAGATCATGTTGCCACCAGTCATCGTTGGAGAGGGTCGGTAGAAGATTGTCGCTCATTCTGTAGTACCTGTTTGGACTCCGACCATGCTCTTATACGGGCACGCATCTTCTTGCGCCTCACTAGACGCAGGGAAGCCACACCAAGAAGACCCATTAGAATTGAATTAAGTGATGAGAAGGCTGAAAATAGGTTCCAGGAACAACTGAGGTAGTTCTGAAAACGAGGTTAACCCAGATGTTGCTTGCAAAGATATACAAGCATGTGGAAACAGCAGTGACATGTATTAGTGATTTAAACCAAAGGGTTACAAAAGCCAATGGATTTCTTCTAGGTCTATTGCACTGATGGATTCTCGTAAACTCATCTCATCAGGCTCTGAACACGATGATGGGCGAAAGCAAATCAGATCTAGGTGAACCTAAAGTCTAAAGTACGACCGTGAGCAGTGGTGGGCAACAAAAGCAAAAGAGATGGAAAAGGCGGCGGCTGTAGGTAACACCAGACAGCTCTTCAGACTCATAAAAGAAACTGGAATTAAGAGTTGAAGTGTGAGACTGTCCCGGAAAAAAACGACGCTCTTATCTGCTCCCAGTCCAGACGTTTAGGACGATGGACGGAACACTTTAAGGAGCAGTTCAGCTGACCTTCAGCTACTCTAAAGCTACCCACCATTTTTAGATAGTGTGAATGGAACATTGAAGTAGGTCGCCCGACTCTAGCTGAAGTTCATAAGCCTATGGCTAATCTGAAACAAGGTAGGGCAGATGGACTGACTCCGGAGGTTTTTAAGGATGGTGGTCCAATTTTAGCGATTAGGTTGACTAATACTTTAGCTAAAATCTGGGAGTTGGACGTAATCCCACCTGACTGGTCGCAATCGCTTATTGTCCCGATATATAAGAAGGGATCAAAATCGTCCTGTGACAACCATAGAGGGATTAGTTTAACTAATATAGTATCTAACATGCCAGCCTCAATAATTATCTGACGCCTAACTAAGACTCGCGAACTACAAACATATGAAATCAGGCTGGCTTCAGACCTGGTCGTGGCTGCATCGACCACATATTCACCATTCATCAAGTTCTAGAACACAGGCATACTTATCGGCATCCGACAATGGTGGTCTTTCTTGATCTAAAAGCAGCATTTGACTCTGCAGATCGAGAGGTTCTGTGGCAGTGTTTGTCATTGAAAGGTGTGCCTCAGAAGTACATAAACCTTGTGAAGGCTCTTTACTCGAACACTACTAGTCGAGTCATAGCTTATGGCGAACTGTCATCTGGTTTTGCAACTTCAAGTGGTGTCCGTCAAGGCTATCCACTTTCTCCATTTTTGTCTAACTTCATCATAGACCTACTGATGGAAATAACATTCTCGTCTACTGAATTCTCAGGTATTGATCTCCTTCCAGGAGGTCCACTTATCGACTTAGAATACGCAGATGACATAGTCCTGTTTGATGAAAACGCTGATAAAACGCAAACTCTTCTGGTAGCACTGAGCAACAATATCTGAATGTTTGGAATGCGCTCCTCCCCGTCGAAATGCAAGTTGTTGCTCCAGTACTAGCCTGAGTCAACACCTGAACTAAGGATAGAGAGTGAAGTAGTCGAACGCGTTGACAACTTCACTTATCTTGGAAGTCTGATCAGCCCTAATGGGTTGGTATCTGACGAAGTCTCAGCATGGGTTCGAAAAGCTCGCTTGGCTTTTGCCAACTTACGTCACCTGTGGCGCAGGCGAGATGTCCGTCTACCAATTAACGAACGAGTATACTGCGCGGCAGTCCGTTCTGTTTTTATTTACGGCTGCGAAACGTGGCCATTAAGAGTAGAAGATATTCGTAAGCTATTAGTATTTGACCACAGATGCCTTAGAAATATTGCTCGCATCTTCTGGGATCACCAGGTAAGTAATAGTGAAGTTAGACGTGGGGTATTAGGGAATGATAGTAAATCAGTTGATGAGGTTGTGAATCTTCACCAACTGAGATGGTTGGGCCACGCGTTGTGTATGCCTAAACACAGATTACCACGACGCTCAATGCTAACTGGTGTTGGGGATGGTTGGAAGAAAGTTAGGGGTGGCCAAACTAAAACGTGGCATCAGTGCTTGAAGTCACTAACTTGTAGTCTGAGCCATGTTGGTAGATGCAGACTACTTGGTTGGGGTCTGCGTGACTATCGTAACGAATGGTTAGAGACTCTGTGTGGCATGGCTCAGAACCGATCACAATGGCGTAAGTGTATACACTCTCTGTCTTCCCTTAAACTATGAGACTAAAATTATTTCATATTTTTCTTTCTACGAATTAACTTTCTTCCTTCAATCTTTCCTTTATATATTACCCCATTGAGTTGATTGCTTCCATGAATTTGGTGTTCATCTTGTTGTGCTAATGAGGTGTGGTAACTTGGACCGATGCACATATGTGCCTGGTCCTACGTTGTAACTGATTGACTGAATAAAATTTTGTGTTCCTTTGTACTGATAAACGTCTACGTCACGGTATTTTTTGTAGTGTAGAGTTATTCTCCCATAAAATGACCGATTTATTCATACTAGTAGATTTTGTTTTGTGGATGTTAACGTAACATTGTTCCATGTATTTTAGTGAAGATCATGAAAAGCACGGTTCCTCACGCAAACATCGACGGGATAGCCGCTCACGTTCACAGTAAGTATAATTGATTTTTATACATGTTCAATATACTAAAGTGCCTCACTATCTACGGATAAGTTGAGTTTCCGTACAAGCTTTTCCTAAAGCAAACTTTATCAATAAGGGTAAGAGAAACACATCACAAGAAGTTTTTCACTACCACTCAATACTTACCGTTTTCGTCAGACAATCACATCGTCTCTGTACTACAGGGTAGGGAGGTAAGCTCCAGATTGTAGACTGAGCAACCAAAGTTTAGATGGAAACGGTTAACTTTAGAAACATATCTGAGTCAAAGTATCTGTGTACACATGTGCCAAATTCTGCGTTGCGTTTAACTGACTGACCGACCGATAAAGTATCTACAAATGCGAAGAATGTACGGCTGTAACAGACACCACTTGACGTACTCGATCAAGTAGTAGCTTCCTGTAAGCTGCAGTTTGACCAAGTGTTGCAAAAAGGGTCCAGTAAATCAATGTTCTTTGGTACCCTTCTCAATGTTAAGGATTACCACGATCTATCTCGATTGGAAATGCTAATTAATTCTTTCGGACAAATAGATGCTAGTATAGTTACCCATACCTATGTTTACAACCCGTCGATTGCTTTTATTAAACTATGCATTCCGCGTAAGCCGAGGCACTGTAAACTGTGATGTACACATATTCCATGTACGAGATCTATATCTACAAAATGTACGTTTTCAATTTTGGCTTGCGAACTCTGTTATAGTCACGTCACTTGGTAGTACACCTCTTTAAAAATATGTGTAAGTACTAAATTTCTAATATAAAATAATATACTCCTTTTTATTTCAGTGATAAAGACAGAGAACTGCGCATTCAAATGAAGTAAGATTTCAGTGTTTTATTGTTTATCTAATTTTAACGCTACTTTTCTTAGGCCTTTGATGCTTTCTTCAGATAATGAATTAACTCGACAAAATGAGATTAGCTACATCGAAGGTTCAAGTTTCACACAGAAAAGTTTCTCTTCTTCGCGTAAACAAGACACAGTAGGTTTACACTGTACAAAATTGCTTATGGTTATAAGTTCCATATGACTGTATGACTAAAGAATATTCATTTAAGCCTATCCTGCTGCTATGTGGTTGTTATCTGTTTTTTGCAGCCATTGATCCAATTTTTTTACATTTGATTACTCATCATCAAGATCTATCTGCAACCTTGCAAAAGTTTATTACTTACCTAAGTTCTTAGTGTTCATTGCCCAACTAATAAATCTTGGTAACAGTTAGATTGAACAGCTTTAAATATCAGATGAAACAAAAGGTTTCATTTCAAGTCGCCATTAATATATCTGAACAAAATATTTATAGTTGAAACTTCCCCCAGATTATTGCCTACCGTTGAACACCTAAAAAGGTGTATCTAAATGTTGATGAACAGTTAGTTTAGTAAACATATCTTAAATATATCAATAAAACTAACCTATTACTAAATTGTGAGTATGTATGTACGTATAACATATTTATATGTGTTGAAGAGTTATGCAAAATATCAGTGGTCGAAGTACCTTAATTACAGCCCAATAAATCTATATAGCAAATGAATTGCTTATAGTTGTGTCGACACCAAGTCAAAAGGTTTCGGGACTAAATTATCAGGGAAATTGCTTTAGTTTTGTTCACGTAAAGCATAGGGATGTCCAGTAATTAATTGAGCCCCCTTTCTGTCTGATATTTAATGCGTAAACAGGTAGTCTTCCTCTATAGCTGGATAAGAGTTTCGCAGTTTATCAAATTATTCGGGACTAATTGAAGGAAATATTTCAAGCGAGTAAGTAATCCAGGCAGTTTTGTTATCAAATTATATACTTATAAACAGAATATCTATTCAGAACCCTTCAGAACATTTCCTCTTTGTAATCACCAGGCTATTACCCAAAGAGGATCTGATCTACTCTTGTTCACATCATTTCTCTTGTTGACTACAAGAAGTTAATCTTTGCATCAAAGTGCATCTACGCCATGGGAAAGATCACCTCGATATTTATAATTAAATATACTCTGATAATCGTTTGATGTTTCTAGCTACTGAATCCGGATTCACATTCACGGTCGACAGGTGTCAATTCAGGTCAATACTCCTCAATGATTTTGGAAAGAGCACACGAAGCGGCTATATTTGGTCATTCTTCAGTTCCTTTACCTTCCATTCTTGGTACAGATCCAGCTGAAGGCAAAGATAAACTAGTTTCTTCTGTGGATACAGTGAAGCAACTACTTCATCATTCGGTAATCTTCAGTAACAAAGATTATATTTCCTTGTTTTCTCACATGACGTGTCCTTTACTGTAGTCTTTCATGACTTTAAGTTCATTAATGCTAATAGATTTATCAATACTCAAAATTTAGATATACCTCAACAACATATCAAAATTAATACTTTGCAAACAAATAAAATCAAACTGACTACTTTTAAATTGTGGCATTATGTTGTATCCACTCAGTAACCAACAACTGGATCCTAAGAATACAATTCTGTTTATCAGTGAAGTTGTAAGACTCATGGTACATAAAATGAGATGGGTATACAGTGATAATAACTAACACCGAAATCTATCTACCTACAGACTTGTATATGTTTATTCATACAAGATCATTTAAGTTTACAGAGTAAGGTGACTTACTTAAGCGCCTAATTTCAAAAGCTCTAGTGTTTGAAGTGCTAAACTACAAACTAAACCAGCAAACAGCTTGTAAATAACAGGAAAGTGCTTATTATGTCCGATTGTTAACGAAATGTTCACTCTGGGATCCTAGATTTTTAACAAAATTACTTATTAGTCAACGAAACAAACAGAAATATACTGTTACATTAACGGTTGTGCAAATTCTTTGACGTTGAGTGACGTTTATTCATTGCGATTGAGAGAAGCATAAAGCATTTGTGCTGAATACTGAGAAAATCATTATTGGCGTTTCGAAATTTATCTTATTTTTTGTTAGGTTGGTACATCTTTTTTTCAAGAAATTACTAAAATTATCTTAGGAATCATTCCATTTTCGATTGAGCAGTTTACCAAGCAGAGCGAAATTCGTTTAGATTATTTCATCCGTTGGTTAGTTAACTAGTGAAAAATGCTTGTTTTTATCTTACTCCAAAGTATAAATGTATTGACTAATAAAAAGCTGAAATGATTGCGTTGGTGTTAAATTTTCTGAGCTGAATGGTTTGATCTCTCAAGCCTTGTCATTCAGTATACTGGCTTACATACTTCCAGTATCTTGCTTCTTTGAAAGCCACTTCTACAGTGTATTCTAAATTTATCTTAATAAACTATTGAAGATAAAAACCTTATATATATAACAAGTATATACCTTATCATGTTGTCCCTTAGCTCATAGCTTATTCATTCATTTACCAAGTCCAAATTCGTGTACTTGACTTCACACTACACATTGTATTAGAGATAATGATCCTACTTAGTTACCTAAACTAAAGTGACTATACTTACTTACTGACTTACGCCTGTTACTCCCAATGGAGCATAGGCCGCTGACCAGCATTCTCCAACCCACTCTGTCCTGGGCCTTCTTTTCTAGTTCCATCCAATTCTTGTTCATTTTTCTCGTGTCTATCTCCATTTCTCGGCGTAATGTGTTCTTTGGTCATCCTCTTTTCCTTTGACCTTCAGGATTCCATGTGAGGGCTTGTCTTGTGACGCAGTTGGGTGCTTTCCTCAATGTGTGTCCTATCCACTTCCAGCGCTTCTTCCTGATGTCTCCCTCTGCTGAAATCTGGTTTGTTCTCTCCCACAGTAGGTTGTTGCTGATAGCGTCTGGCCAACGGATCCGAAGTATTTGGTGTAGACAATTGTTAGTAAACACCTGTATTTTCTGGATGATGGCTTTCGTAGTTCTCCAGGTTTCTGCCCCATACAGTAGAACTGTCTTGACATTTGTATTGAAAATCCTGACCTTGGTGTTGGTTGACAGTTGCTTTGAGTTCCAGATGTTCTTCAGTTGTAAATATGCTGCTCTTGCTTTGCCGATCCGCACCTTCACATCTGCATCAGATCCACCCTGTTCATCAATGATGCTGCCCAAATACGTAAAGGTTTTTACATCTTCCAAATCTTCTCCGTCAATTTTGACTGGATTGTTGCATTCTGTGTTGTATCGGAGAATCCTGCTTTTCCCTTTGTGTATATTGAGACCTATTGCTGCTGAGGCTGCTGCCACACTGTTCGTCTTCTCCTGCATCTGTTGTTGCGTTTGGGATAGAAGGGCCAGATCGTCTGCGAAGTCTAGATCATCCAACTGCATCCTAGATGTCCATTGTATCCCGCGCTTCCCTTCAGACGTTGACGTCTTCATGATCCAGTCGATCACCAGGAGAAAGAGGAAGGGTGAGAGTAAGCAGCCTTGCCTAACACCGGTCTTCACTTTGAACGACTTTGTCAACTGTCCTCCATGCACAATTTTGCAGTGTAATCCATCATATGAGTTCTGTATGATATTGACTATCTTCTGAGGCACGCCGTAGTGTCGAAGAAGTTTCCATAGTGTTGTTCTGTCCACGGTGTCAAATGCCTTTTCGTAGTCAATGAAGTTGATGTAGAGTGATGAATTCCATTCAATTGATTGTTCCACAATGATCCGTAGAGTTGCGATTTGGTCTGTACATGATCTATCCTTACGGAATCCTGCCTGTTGGTCACGAAGTTGGGCGTCTACGCAATCTTTCATCCTGTTTAACAATACCCTGTTGAAGACTTTTCCCGGTATTGAGAGAAGAGTGATGCCCCTGTAGTTATCACACTTGCTGAGATCGCCTTTCTTCGGTATTTTGATCAGGAGTCCTTCTTTCCAGTCTGCTGGTACTTGTTCCTCATCCCAAATCTTATTGAAGAGAATGTGGAGTATCCTTGCAGTTGCGGCTACGTCTGCCTTTAGTGCCTCTGCTGGGATGTTGTCTGGTCCTGCTGCTTTGCCACTCTTGATTTGTCTGATGGCCATGCTGATTTCTTCAATTGTTGGTGGGCCAACATTGATTGGGAGGTCCGCGGGTGCTGCTTCGATGTTGGGTGGGTTCAGTGGAGCTGGTCGATTCAAGAGTTCTTTGAAGTGTTCTACCCACCTGTTTTGTTGCTCTTCAATGTTGGTGATTACCTTGCCTTCCTTGCTTTTCACTGGTCGTTCTGGTTTGTGGCGATTTCCAGAGAGTTTCTTTGTCGTGTCATACAATTGTTTCATGTTTCCTTCTCTTGAAACCTTTTCCGCCGTCGTTGCTAAATCTTCCACATACTTACGTTTGTCGGTTCTGATGCTCCTTTTCACTTGTTTGTTAACTTCTGTGTATTCAGCTTGTGCTTTGGCTTTTTCTGCTCTTGTTCGGCTGGTATTGATTTCTGCCTTCTTGTTCCTTCTTTCTTGAATCTTATCCAGTGTATCAACAGTGATCCATTCCTTGTGGTGGTGCTTCTTGTGACCCAGGACCTCATGACATGTTGAAGTGATTGCCTCTTTGATCCCCTTCCAGTTGCTCTCCACAGTAGTTCCTTCTCCATTGAGTAGATCATGAAAGGCCTGGAACTTGTTGCTGAGGACTATCTTGAATTTGTTGAGTTTGTTAGTATCCTGGAGAAAGGCCGTATTGAACTTTTGTGATATTGTCCGCCCCGTTGTCCAGTGCTTCTTGAGTTTCAATTTCATCTTGGCGACCAGTAAGTGATGATCTGATGCTATATCATCTCCTCTCTTGGTTCTCACGTCCTCTATGGTCCTTCTGAACGTTTTGTTGATGCAAATATGGTCGATTTGGTTTTGTGTAGAGTGATCCGGTGAAGTCCATGTGGTTTTGTGTATGCGTTTATGTGGGAATATGGTGCCGCCTATGACCAGCTTATTGAAGGCACATAGATTTACAAATCTCTCACCATTTTCGTTTCTTTCTCCCAGTCCGTGTCGTCCCATGATGTCTTCATATCCAGTGTTGTCCGTTCCAACCTTGGCGTTGAAATCTCCCATCAGAACGGTCAGGTCCTTTGTTGGGCACTTCTCGACGATCGACTGCAGCCTATTGTAGAATTGATCTTTAGCATCTTCATTGTAGTCGTTGGTAGGCGCATAGCATTGGATGATGTTCATTGAAATGCCCTCTTTCTTTGTTTTGAACGAGGCTTTGATGATCCCTGGTCCATGAGATTCCCATCCTATAAGTGCATTTTGCGCTTGTTTGGACAGCATCAATGCAACTCCTTGTGTATGTGGTGCATTTTCTTCTTCATGGCCGGAGTATAACAGGAGCTCTCCTGAAGTTAGTTGTTGTTGTCCAACTTGCGTCCAATGTGTTTCACTGATCCCAAGTACCTCTAGGTTGTATCTTCTCATTTCTGCAGCAATTTGGAAGGCTCTCCCGGTGTCCCACATTGTACGAACATTCCATGTACCTAAATAAATGGTCGCTCTGGTTGTCAGAAGGGGCATCAGCCTCGTAACTTCCGAAGGAATTCGGCTTTCATCATGAGGCGTCATAATTCTTCTAAATGAAGACCTTTTGACTCCCAGGGCAGAGTTTAAAAGGTTTGAATAATTTTTTCTGGTTAGCGTTTTTTTAGCGAGTTAGTTTTCCACGGGATGGAGTCGCTAACCCCATGCCCAACCCTCTTCCTTTATCCGGGCTTGGGACCGGCAGTAGCCCCCGGAGAGACTCCAGGCGGAGTTAAAGTGACTATAGTAGGGTTCAAACGTGGGATTTAATAGATGAATGTCGAACGCCTTAACCAATGAGCCACTGATCAACTTATTCATTAACTATATGACTTTTTTAATATTGTTCTTCTTCTAGTACATACATTGTCATCATTTAATTTATGGAGTAACATTTTAGTTACACAGTAATCGTTTCTTTTCTTTTGTGTAAATTTACAGCTGGATAAATCCGATCCTTCCACATGGGATGCTTGGTTGTTGAAACTTGCTGAATTTAAGGCACGTCGAGCAAATAAGATTTCATCTACCATAAACACAAATCAGAAAAAGAGAATTAATGGAATTGGATAATAAAGTATACTTTTCTTATAACTTACTAATGGTTAGATCTATTTAAATCATTATAGTTTTTATTTCCTGCGAATACAACATGTACTTTTTTAACGTATTCTTTTTATGAAATATTACTACGAATAAATAAATGTAAATCAATTGTAATAGTTTTGATTTTTTGTAACTCACCAGACTTGTTTTCAAAACTGTGAGGGATTAAACGCCTATGTCTGATTGTGTTTGAATAAAAAATAATGCAGCATAATTCTGAGCTATGCAGGTCACCATAAAAAGTAACTCTTGATCCTATTTTTGTGCTTTTGTGTACTTACGAGCATGATGTGTTTGAAATATCCATGGAGTTTATTCTAACTCTAAAGTTCTAATCTATGAAGGGTAATGCTGGAATGAATTTACTAATAACTATGGGAAATTTATAAGTAGAATGTGACATTATTTCGATTTGTGGAATTGAACCAGATCCCTAATCTGTAAATATTTTTTTAGTCAGGATAATTCGCCAATAAGAGATTAGGTGTCTCAATTCTTAATGTGAGTCTGATATTCTAGTTAAATCACTACAGTCAGAACATTTAAAAAAGAACACACCTCAACTTAGTAGTTTTTATCTGTTAAATTTTCATTTGGATTTTCCTATTACCTTAATAAATCATTCCTTTGGTCTATAGACTGATTTGAATTGAGTTCGTACCTGTTCCGTCTAACACAATGTGTTATTTAAAATGTTCACTCTATCTTACTTTCAGTTTGAAAAAAGGAGTGTGTTGCATTTTGTTTGACTGGTCGCGATTGAGTCCAAAAAATCTACTTGAAACGAGTTTAGCAAATCATTCGAGAAACTAACGCTGCTAATCATGGATTCAAAGTACAGTTTGAGGTCTTCAAAATATTTGGATACTGAAGATATATAAATTCTGTAAACTTTTCAGCACCACCTTAGTGGTGATACATTATTGAGTGAATGTAGGAAACTGTAATTGTCAATTGTATTTGGAATGTATAAGTTAAGTTAAAATACCGTGAGAATGAACGTCATCTGTTCGCGTTCACAATATTACAATAAACAAAACTATAACACATCTAAGCGTAAATTATTTAAGTAAATCTCGCCACACTTTGAGTTGTCACTACTGAGTGTGGCATAAATAGTTAAAGAATTCGCATTACCAATAATCAGCACTGCCTAATCAAATGGAAATATATATAATTTGTTTAGTTAATTATTCTAGGTTATCTAGAGTTGTCTGTCATAACATAAATCTTTCTGTCTCATGAACTCTAAACTTAATTTTTCTTGAAGATTAATTTTATCGGTTCTGAAAGCTATGAATAATCAAAGTTAGCGAATATTGATTTGATTCTAATGAAATAACTTAGATTTTTATTCTCATTTGTACCCAATAATTAAATGTTATTGGGACTGTGTTAATGATCTTTTCTCTGTGGTCAACAAGTAATTAGCGAAACGCAACACATCAAAGTAAATTATTCTAAGGCAACTTGTCAGAGAATATTCCTGAATATCATTTATATCATTATTTTATTTGAGCACATAAATATTGCTACAAGGGGGCACCATATATATATGCGCCACACAAATTTCATTCTATTTGTGTATGGGCTGTGATACTGCCCAGGTGCCCAGACCGAAGCAGGTGGTTTCCTTAGGGGGTCACACCCCGAGCCTTTGACCTAAAGGTCTGACCCACAAGGCAGTGGAGCATCGTGAGGAGATGCAGTCTCATGGTAGCCGGTGACCAACGATTGGTTCATACGCCATTACTTCCCACAGGATACTAGAGCCCATGTACACCATTGGTTTGGAATCCGGTTAAAGTGCCGGACATTCTCTTTTCGTCCTCTGAATTTCGTAAACAAAACCCCCGCCAAGAGAAGGCAATGAGTAGGACTTCCCTAGCAGAGGCTGTGTACGCGTGACAATGTGGGAGCATTTCGAGAGGTAGGGTGGGCCCTTCCCACTCTTGGCCATACCAGGGCATTTGAGGGCATTCCTGTATATCATGGGTTAATATACATTTTTTGGTGGAGTTTTGTTCTCTGAGCTGGATAGTTTGATTGTGGAGCTTTCATCGGAAGAAGTGAAGAAACTCGACAGGAAATAAGACAAACCATAGTACTGCTAACTCGGCGGAGGAAAGGAAACACTCAACTGACCTCACATGAACAAAAAGCCTTAAAGAAACTCAGGACTAGAGAAGATATTGTCATGGTCCCAGCGGACAAAGGACGCACTACGGTGATTATGGACAGGGAATAATATGTTAGGAAGCTGAGGAACTGCTTGGGCATAAGAACGTATACAAATCAATGGACACATATCCAGTCAAAAGTTTAGACAACCAAATCTCAAGGACTTTAAACAAGCTTGTCAAAGCAAGATCAATCGGGAATGAAATCCAGTGGTTCAGTACTCCCTCGATTATACGGTAAGCCGAGAATACATAAACCAATCATCCCACTACGTCCAATTGTATCACTTCCCGGAACCCCAACATACAATTTGTCAAGAGAAAATTCACCGATACTGAAACATTCAGTGATTTCATCCAACCACTTCATCAATTCTCCCATACAATTCCCGGATAAGCCTATGGACATTCAAATCAACAATTTAGAACTGATGATATCCGTCGCTGTAATAGCTTTACTCACCTCAGTTGAACCAAGCTTAGCAAAGGAAACTATCCCTGCTTCCCACCAACGACTTAAATCTGCCAAAGTACACGAAGCTCCAAAGTCAAAGTTTACTAAAACTCATAGATTTATGCTCAACAACAAACCTCTAATTCAACAACTAAATCTACGGACAAACGAAAGGAAAACCGATGGAATCACCAATACCAGGACTTACTGTAGAAGCAGCGATGAATAGACTGGAAACCTCGATCTTATCAGTGATCAAGCCAATAATTTGGATTCGTTATGTGGACGACACATTCGTCATCGTCAAAAAGGACGAGCTGGGAAAAACCTTCAAACTGATCAACGACGTCTTCGATGACATAAAGTTCACGATAAAACAGGAGTCAAACAAAAACTATCATTCTTGAATGTGTTGATCACCAGAATCGACACAGGAAAACTAGAGACTCAAGTTTATCTGAAGCCGACACACACGGATCAAATTCTCAATTCCAGTAGCAACAACCCAAGAACTCACAAAATCATCTGCGTACAAGCTTTTTTCAAGAACGCGGGGACACATTTGCAACGCGAAAAAATAAAAAATACCTGATTTCCACCTTTCAAACGAACGGCTATCGAATCAATTTCGTCAAAAAATATCAGCCAAAAGCATCATCAGAAACAAAGTCAAGTACAGAAACTAACAAACAGATCATCTTACCATATACAGAAGGCATATTAGAAATTACAACGAGATTGTTGAAGTTTCTTGGAATAAGTGTAGCAGACAACCAACGAAATCACTTCAATCAATCCTATTGAAACCAAAGGATGAAATGACGATAGAAGAAAAACCGAACATCTACAAAATAAATTGTTCCAACTGCGAAATACACTACATCGGACGTAGTGTATGTTCCCTTTATCTTCGCCTGCATGAACATCAATTCGTGGTCAAACGCCATGACATATCCTCGCTTACATCAATGCATGTGGACACACATTCGACTGGAAGAATGTAGAGATCTTGGATAGAGGCAATTCTAAAAACACTAGAGAATTTTTAGAAGCTTGGCACTCAGGTTAATCAGCAATCAACAAACACATTTAAATCGACACAATTTATCAGCCAATCAGAAAAATTATGAACAAATATAGGACCAAAAATCAAACCAATGGGAGGTACAACCAAAATAAAGAAGTAAACAATGACAAACTAAAGATCAACAAGGACCAATCAACATCGAGGTCTACTGGGCAAGCTGTCAGCCATATGTAGAGAAATTTGAACACTTCACTTCTACTTGAAGTTCGTGCTGATGATGTCGTTCAGAAGAACCATGAAAGCACCACAAACATATCATCCAGCTCAGAGAAAAAAACACCAAAATCACCCACATGAGCTACAAGTCTTCATCTCAAATTTATGTACATATAATTCCGCAATATAACATTCAAAGTTACTACGACGAAATAATTGTATCTATATTACTCAATTACTTCAACGAATTAGATTTCAGGAAACAAAATGACTAACTTGGCGAATATTTATTAGGAAATTAATGTTATTTGTTTAGTCAGAACAACATAACTCTGAATAGTTACTTGTTAGTCAATATATGAATAAGCAAAGAAAAAATTTCACAAGTAACTAACATTCACTTACACTTCCTCTTGTAACGACGGTGTCCCCATAAAATATTGTCTAACATGGACCCCAGATTGTAGACATCAGTTTATATGTATATTATTTAAATTACTGAAAGATGCTAAAACTGTTTTAACTGAACAGTACATTTACATAAGGCATAACCACTTGTATTTGTGTTTTAAAGTACATTCAAAAAATCGTTATATTTAGTGGAAGTCATCAAATAACTGATCACGTGATAGGGTCATTCGTAAAATAAGAGACAAGAAAAGAAACACTTAATCTATTCTTATTGGTTTGTTAGACATTTTCGATAGTATATTTATGAAACTATAGAGACAAAAGTTTTTAAAGAAGTGATTTTTCCACTACGTGAACGTGTATTTCAACGTTTTTCACTTAGTTTTACATGTTTCCCTTCATTTTACACTATGACGGATTCTTCTTCAAATGTTTTCAATAATTTCGATAATAAACCTGAGTTCCTAACACTCATAAAATCGATTATAAAGAAGGATGATGCAAATCGATTGCTAGCAGTATTAAATAATCTTAGTCAAGATATCGCTACTTTAAATACCACTGACAATAATAAATGTAACGAAATAGAAAACAAACTGTTTGATTTTGAGCATACAGTTCTTGGATATGAAAACTTATTGCATGTAAGTCCCTTTTTCGATAGATATTTGTTAGGTTT